CTGAGTACTGCAGTTTCTGTTTGCCAGCTGGACATCCATAGTGAATAACATTTGCTTTGCCAAAGCACAAAACCAAATCACCCAACTCTCTTTGTCTTTAGGACTTCTTGGCTGATGTTTCCCATGGGAGAGGTCCTGGAGGGGATGAGAGGGGGAGAGGAGCATCTGTAGATACCTGTTCCCCATCTTGTTTCTTGCTGTAGGTGACTGAAGTGTGCTTCAGTCCTGATGAGACTCACTGTGCAACGTGCGGGGAGGACGGTAGTGTGAGGATCTGGTCTCTGGGCAGCATGGAGCTGGTGGTACAGTTCCAAGTGCTCAACCAGGTAATTGTAGTACATTAAGTTCTTCCTCCTGGCAGAGGGCACAGGAGGAAGGAATCCTTGCTTGGGGTTGCAAGGACTGCTATGTCCTCACGGAGGAGATAAAGCTGGGGAAATACTTGTAGGTGGAGCCTGTAGTGCACTGAACTGCACAGTCCTGCTGTCCTCACTGTGTCATCAGGTCTCTGCCCTGGTTCCTTTGCAGAGCTGCCAGTGCCTGGCCTGGAAGCTTCATCCTGTCGTTGCATGGGGAGCTGAGAGCCAGCACGTAGTGTCAGGGTACAGTGATGGCACCATCCGTGTGTTCAACATTTCCAGGACAGAGCTGGAGCTGAAAATGCAACCCCATGCTGTAGCACTGACCGCGATTGCCTACTCCACAGATGGTGAGGCTGCCTCTCACACAAGTGTGGAACATGGCTTGGTTGCGCCCGGGTTACCCTGACCTCTAAATGCTCTGCACACCATCAACCTGCCCAAAAACATCTCATCATACCCAGCCCTGACTCAGTTGTTCCCAACCTTTCACAGTGTTTTGGGACATTGGTATCCATGATCTCAGACCTTTCTCCTGTGAGCTTTTTCTTCTCCTACGAGAAGTGTCACATTCTTTTTCTCTCTCTACCCACAGGAGAAATGATCTTATCAGGGGGCAAAGATGGGCTCGTGGCTGTCAGCAGCCCTCGCACTGGAATGACCATCCACGTCCTTGCTGACCATGAAGGCTCCCCCATCACTGCTCTGCAGTGCACCATGAAGCAGGTGAGACCTCACCTTTGCCCTGGCCCTGTGCAGCAGCAAGTCCCTGTGGATCACTGCACAGCCATGTCAGTCAGTGAGTCTGCTTCTTTGTCCCTTGCTTTTCCTCTTTGGGCCATCAACCCCTCCAATAGCTTCTGTTCAATTTTTCTGGCTCTGTACTGTTCCTCTTTGCAGCTGGGAAGACTTGGCTGTGCAGCAGTGTGATGGTTTTAGCATCTCCTTTGTCCTCCTCTTTATGGGGAGTCTTCTTCCTTTGTGCAGTGGAAATGACAATAATTTTGCCTAAGTACTTACGCTTTAAAATCATCCACACTGCAAGGCTGGGCTCCCTGGGAATTCTAGACTTGGGAGATCCTCCTCAGTTTGAGGTAAAGGGTGTTGTTAGGGGACACACAGTATCAGCAAGAACTGCCCTATGACATGAGCGGGTTCAGAGGGCATCCCAGGGAAGAGATCCATGTTGCTCAGGCCAGGCACTCTCCCTCCTACAGCAGCCTCTTCTGCTGGGTCTTTCAGCCCAGAGCATGCTGCTGGTTCCTACACCACAGCCTCATTCTCCTGTTGGACTCTAAGAGACTTTAAGCACTGCCCAAATGGAAGTGAATTGATCCCCTGTGGCATAAGGCCTGTGTTCCCACCAGCTCCTGCCCCACACTCACTCTGGTGGCAGCTTCTGGACTAAACTTCAAGCTTAAACTGACAGCACTGTGCTCATCTTCTGCAGTACCGGGACTTTGGGGTGGAAGGAGGTGAGCTCTGGCTGGCCACCAGCTCAGACCGGCGGGTCAGCATCTGGGCCTCCGACTGGCTGAAGGACAAGTGTGAGCTGCTCGACTGGCTCAGCTTCCCTGCTCCTGCCAGTCCCGAGGTGAGTGTTCCACTGCCAGCCTCTGCCTGTTTGTGGCAACAGTTTGGTGGCACAAGTCTCAGAACCAGCAAGCTGGAGAAGGAATGCCTGAAGGCTCTGAGCAGGATGGGGCCAAAGAGAGAGGGTGAACTTCATTAGTCATAGAATGATAAGAGTGGTTTGGAAGGGACCTTAAAGCTCATCCGGTTCCGAGCCCCTGCCATGGGCAGGGACATCTTCCACTAGACCAGGTTGCTCCAAGCCCCATCCAACCTGGCCTTGAACACTGCCAGGGATGGGGCAGCCACAGCTTCTCTGGGCACCCTGTGCCAGTGCCTCAGCACCCTCACAGGGAAGAACTTCTGCCTTATCATTTTAGTCATCTTCGTTAATTCTGCTGCTTGTAGAGTATCTTGGCAATGCACTTTCTTGTCTGTTGAAGAACAGTGGGAACTGGAGCAGTGCCTGACTTCTGGGAAGCACTGACTTTGTAAGCGTGAGGAGACAAAACTGTTCCTGTGCTGTGCAGAACAGAGCACAGGCAGCAGTGAGCACAGCACCCAGGAGAGGCACCTCATTATGAGCATGCTGCCAACTTTGACACTCCCAAAGAGCATGAATACTCAGAGCCAGGAGCCCAAGGACCAGCTCATAGACCAAGTACTCAGCCTTGTTTGTCTGTGATGCTTTGCAGAACCCTTTGGCTCCAACCCAGGTGTGAGACTTAGGTGGCAGAACACTTGCTAGAAAGAGAAGAGGGTGTGTATCAGATGTGGAGATGATCCCTTGTTCCCAAAATGCCGGTTTTCCTCTCCATGAAAGAAGCTCCCCACAGTGAACAGGGAAAGGGATGATCTTGCATCCACTATTAAAGATCTATCTTATGGGCCCTAATTTCTTGTGTTAAACTGATCCATAACCAAATCCCACCTTCAAACCCATGTACCAATAATACCTCGAAGGAAATTCAACCCTCCTGTGTCCCACTCCTACAACAGTAAACAGTTTACTTTGGGTTTTTGTGGCGGTGTGTGGTTGCTCATTGCTTTGCCAGGAACATGGCTGAGATGGCAATGCAAAAGGGAGGAAACAGCCTCCAGCATACTAATTTCATACTGCTCAGACAACACAGCCCCAGGATGGGTGTCCTCATGCTCTCCTTTTAACCCCCACTGTGTTGGGTCAGGCTGGAGAAGCTGGCCTCAGTTTTCTTCCCTTTGGTTCCCCTCACCAGGGTCTGGACACCTTTCCGCCCAGCCTGGCCGCGTTCTGCCCATGGGAACATGGCACCCTGGTCTACGTCGGCTTTGGGAGGCAGAAGGAAGCCTTGTTTTACAGTCTGCACAAGAAACAGGTACTTGTGCCCTGCCAGGGCAGCTCGGGTACTTGTTAGCCACTGCGGGGCCATGGCCACATGGAATGGAGTGCAGTGGGGGGAGAGGCAGCGCTGCCCTGTGTGTAAAACCATGCCTCAAGGTGTGAGGTGGGCCCAGGTGAGCGGCTGCTCAGGGCAACAGCTTTTCATCTCAGAACCTCCAGGGGCCCTGGTCTGGGCAGGCTGCCAGCCCTGCTGCTGCCTTTCCATCCCAGTGGAGGGGAAGGCATTTGCTTTCAGGAGCACCAACACTAAATCTTTGAGTCAAGTCTCCTCTGGGAAGTCAATGCCTTTGGCAGGTTTCCGAACTCTGAGAGGTGTTGTGCATCTGTCAGCCTCCCCTCTGAGAGGAGCCCTTTGCCCTCCTAAGAACCATCACTGCAGCAGCTCTGGTCTCCCGCCTTCTTTCTGAGGTGCTGTTTCTCTTGCTGGAGCATAGGTAGTCATGAAGATCCCCTTGCCATACTTTGCCACATCGCTCAGCCTGTCTCCTGCAGCACGATTCATGGCTGTTGGCTTCGGGGGTGAGTACTGGAGAGTGCTGTGGACTCTGCTACCCAGGCTACCTTTTGGTGGGGAGGGATGTCCCCTTCTTCCTGTGAATGGGGGAAAACAAGTGTCCTCTTTTCTTTAAACAAGCAGCCTGTATCCTCAGAGCTGGGAGCTGTGGTCCTGGGTAGGGTATGCATTGGGCAAGGAGAAAGTTCTGGGCAACTCCTAGGTCAGAAATGAGATGCATGAGCTCAGTCCTGTTTGTCAGTGAGCAGGGTTTGTCACTTGAATGATGACTTGGGGTTAGGAACTGTCTTTATCTGTGGCTGTGTTGAGCTACAGCCCAAGAGGCAGAAGGGACTTGCCCACAGCCAATCTGGGACAGTTGGCACCCTGCTTTCAAGGGTACCTTGCTCCTATAGCTGTTTGTACCTGCCTGAGGAGGCAGCACGTCCATGCTGTGCTGAGCTCCATCCCTGCCCCAGAGCTGTGGGGCACCTGCTGAGCCCAAGACCGGCTGTTTTAGGGGGCTATGAGCTAGCAGAGCTGCACCAGTGTGTTCTGCCATACCCATCACTGCCCTTGGACAGCCTGATACACAGCAGGGAGCTGTGCCATCACACTCTCTCCCTGTTACCAGCCAGTAGTTGCCTACTTGCCTTATGAGGAGCTTGTCCCTGCCCCTCACCGGGCTGTCTGTCAGCTTAGCACTGGGGTGATGGGACCGATGCTGGTCCCAGCGCTCCTGCCCTCGGCTGACCCCTGCTCTCCCCACAGCCCGGCTGCTGCGGCTGCTGCGCTGTCCCGGCGAGGCTCAGGACTACGCCGGCCACGATGACGCCGTCCACCGCTGCTGCTTCGCCCCTTCGGGCCGCCGCCTCCTCACGGCCTCGCACAGCGCCGTCCTGCTCTGGGAGCTCACTGGCGGCTGAGCCGCAGCCCCCGGGCTCGCGGCGCTCCTCCAGGAGCAGGCACGGCCATGTGGTTCCGCGGGCCGGGACCCGGCTCCGCCGCCTCGGCACCAGGCTCTGGGACAGGCCCCAGCTAGGCCCGGACGCCAACGCTCCCCTGGCTGGGTCGGGTGCGCAGTGTGTCTGACGGCTCCATCCGCCGTCACACCCTTTGGTTTTGTTTAATAAAAACACCGAGAGCCGACGGGTTTGGGGTGCTGCGCGACGCGCTCCGCCCGCCCGCCCGGGGGCGCCGCTCCCTGTCCTGCGCCGCTCTGTGCCGCCGCTCGCTGGTGCGGCAGGAAGCGGAAGGTTGTGGTGGGGAGGGGGCGGCCCCGGTAGCGGCGGCGGCGGTGCCGACATGAAGCGGGACGTGAGGATCCTGCTGCTGGGGGACGGTGAGCCCCAGGGTGCGGGAGGGCGGCTGCGGCCGGCCCCGGGAGCAGGGTTCTGCCTGCCCCGAGTCTGGCGGCTCCGGCGTCCTCCCTCTCTCCCTGTGGCTGCCTCCAAGCGGGCCGGGCTGCGTCGTCCTCCGCCCTTGGCTTCCCGCTGGGAGAGGGCCCCGCGGCCGGGCCGGTGCCAGCGTGCTGCCTTTCTCTCCTAGCCCAGGTGGGGAAGACGTCCCTGATCATGGCCCTGGTGGGAGAGGAGTTCCCGGAAGAGGTGAGCGGCAGCGGCGGGACGCTGTGTCCCGGGAGGCGGCCGTGGGGCTGCGGCGGGTGAGCGGGGGGCTTCCGCCGGAATGGTGCTGTCTCCGGTCTGCACTCTAATCCCTGCCCTGCGGAGGAGTGTAGGGACCTGGCAGGCCTCGCTCCCTGCTGCTGGGGTCTGTGTGGCACAGTGGACCATTGGGCACAGCCTTGCCACACAGAGTGGAGCCATTTGTTCCCCAGCTCTGGCCTTTCCCTGGTGGCACCAGCACAAAGCCTTTAGAAGGGGTTTGCACCACGTTCCCTATCCTGTGCCCATCTGGAGACAGGCTTGGTGCTTTGAGCTGGGCCACCTGTGAGGAGCAGCACCCAGCTGGCCCCATGGAGCCTCCACATGGGTAGCTTGCTGTCCCATCATGGTGTGGGTAGGAAAATGGGATCGTTCTGGCCAGGCGTGTTTGTCCTGTGCTGTCAGGTGGCTTCCCCGCTGCCCACGAGCAGATGGTGCCCTCTGCAACGTTTCTGCTGGGAAAACATCAGCTCTGGGGGCTTGGGGGAGGACTGGCCCTGAGCACCTTCCTGTGCTCTCATGGCAGAGCCTGGACAATCAGATTAGAGCTTCTCCCAGCTGCCAGGAGGTCTGTCTGGAGAGCTGGGGGAGTGCTGAGGGCTTATCTGGGGCAGCAGCACTGGAGAGGCAGCTTCCCCAGCTTCCTGCAGCAAGCTGTGGTGGCAGCTGCAGCCCAGGGAGTCAGGAAAGAAGCCTTCCCTGGTGTGGAGCTCATCTCATCCCAGCATCGAGGGAGCTGGGGAGCAGTGACACTGGGCTCTGAAGTCCCTTGTTGTCATTCCTCTCGTCTGTGTTGGGCTGGAGTGGAGGCTGTTGGCTTTGCAGGTGCCACCTCGTGCCGAGGAGATCACGATCCCGGCTGATGTCACCCCAGAGAAGGTCCCCACACACATAGTGGACTACTCAGGTATGGCCTGTGTCCCCTCCCTTCTCCACTCCCTGCCTGGCTGAGGGGAGCAGGAAGGGGTCCAGTTGATGATGGGCTCTTCTCCTTTCAGAGTCCGAACAGACGGAGGATGAGCTGCAGGAGGAGATCTCTAAGGTGAGCAGGGCTGGACAGGGGTGTTGCAGGACTGCTCACTCTCCCTCTTAGCCAACCAGAGACACACAGATTAATGCTATGGGTTTGTTTAATCCTTCCCTGTATGTAATCTAGTGTGTGGCTTGTCCCAGCCCTCTGGGGGTTCTCTGGAAAGAGAGCAGCAGGGGGCAGCCCACCAGGAGGTAGAAGAGGCTGGTGAGCAGAGGACATGCTCTCAGCCTCAGGATGTTCCCCGTGGACTCAGAAGAGGGAAGAAGTAGTTGCTGAGCTTGGATGAGCCTCTCCTGCTCCCTTCATTAGGTCCTTATGGTTGCCTGGTGAAGCAGTCGCCCAGAGGAATTGGTTTGGGAGCTGGAGCCCTGGGGAGTGCTGGGCAGGGAGGAATGAGGACTCCCATGTGTTTGGGAGCAGCCATGGAGCCATTTGGCTGGCTGGGGTGGGCCCAGCTGGTCTTCCCTGCCCTGGGATTAACCCTGGCTCTGCAGAGGGGAGGACCTCTTGATTATGAATAATAAAACTGCCTCTCTTCTGCATGTCTCACATGCACAGAGCTATTTAATATTTCTATCCACAGGAGTCTTGTTTCCTCTACACAGGCTTAGAACGGCTCGGGAAATCCTGCCTAAACCCTTGTGTGTCCTCAGGATTAGCACTGAACTCTCTCCTGAAAGGGCCAGTGATCCCTCCTGTCTGCTTCAAACACAGAGCTGGGGTCAATGCTGCATGCATGGGGTCAGGAGGGGAGGGGGGCAGCAGCCCCTGGACCAGCTTAGCCGCTGAGGGGTGGGAGCAGGGAACCAGGGCTCAGGCCTGCAGGCAGATGTGCTCAAGGGGTGCCTGGAACAGAAGAGCTGGTCTGTGCTCTGAGCACCCCCTTGTAGAGCTTGTGTTGATGGCGGGTGACTGTTGGTGCATGTACTTGCTGGGTTTTAGTGCAAGGGCTGTGCCATGGGCTCAGGCAGCCTCACTACTGCAGTGACCCTCGCTCACCACCCTCTGCTGCTTCTCTTGTAGGCCAACGTGGTCTGCGTGGTGTATGATGTCACCAAGGAGGCCACAATTGAGAAGGTAAGGGGGGGTGCCACCAGAGTCCTGAGCAACAGTACCAGAGGGAAAGGGGTTTCCAGTTCTGGGTCCTGGCTTTTTGCTGTGGGTGGATGTTGGTGCCCCACAGCCTTGTGGAGGGGGTTTGGGGTTTTGAGACCCCTGTAAGCAGAGGCAGGCTGAGCACAGCCTAAGTGTGCTCCCATGCTGGCTGTTGTCCTCATGTGCTGTGGGACAAGGCTTGCTGGATCCTTGTGCTGCCATCCAGCATCCCTGGGGCAGCTGAGCCTGCTGGTGCAGGGGAGTGCTGGGAGCAGATGGCTGCAGGGATGTGCTGGGGCTGCACTGACAGGCTTTTCCCTGTGCTCACCTTCCAGATTCGCACAAAGTGGATCCCCATGGTAAATGGGGGAGCTGAAAAGGGCGCCAGGTAATGTGTCTTGTGTGGTCTATGTGTGCAGATCTGGGGGGTTACGGAGGCTGAGTGGTGCCCGCCACCCTCACCTCCTTCTGTGGTTACAGAGATCAGACCAGCTCTGTGGCTTGTGACATGACCACTTGTAGCTGAAGAATACAGGGGCTTTTCTCCTTCATGGATCTAGCTGAGGGCTCCAGGAGAGGGTTCCTTCCCCTCCTTGATCTCTTCTAAGCCAGGCAGGGAGAGGAGCCTGCAAAGAGAGACACAGATGCCTTAGTCTGTGTGTGGATTGCTTAGGCAGAAGGCTGCTGTGCTGGATTAAAAGCTCCTGAGCATATTGTTGCTCAGTGAAAGCGTAAGCAGGATCAGGCAGCCTGTTCTCCAGATGGATGCTCCCAGCTGCTCTAGACGTTGCAGAGGAGGGGGGGTTGCTCCCAGCCTGCTACCCGCGAGCACATGTGACTGGGGCAGCACTGGCCTCACTCGTGTTCTCTGACATTCCATCTCTTCCCAGGATCCCCATTATTTTAGTGGGAAACAAGTCTGACTTGCAGATGGGGAGCTCCATGGACGTCATCCTGCCCATCATGAACCAGTTTTCAGAGATCGAGACCTGCGTGGAGGTAAGGGAAGTCCAGAGCCTTCCTGAGGGGTAGCAGCATTTATCTGGTGTGAGTCAGGGAGCCTTTGTGCTTGTGGAGATGATGTTGAGGCCTCCAATACAAGAGGGACATGGTGCTGTTGGAGTGAGTCCAGAGGAGGACATGGAGATGCTGTGAGGGCTGGAGCAGCTCTGCTCTGGAGCCAGGCTGAGAGAGCTGGGCTGGTTCAGCCTGAAGAAGAGAAGGCTCCTTAAGGGGAGGCAGTTTCTGGTGCCTACAGGGCCTACAAGAAAGCTGGAGAGGGGCTTTGGACAAGGGCCTGTAGGGACAGGACAATGGGGAATGGCTTTAACCTGACAGAGGGGAGACTGAAATGAGCTCTTAGGCAGAAGTTCTTCCCTATGAGGGTGCTGAGGCGCAGGCACAGGGTGCCCAGAGAAGCTGTGGCTGCCCCATCCCTGGCAGTGTTCAAGGGCAGGTTGGACAGGGCTTGGAGCAGCCTGGTCTGGTGGAAGTTGTCCCTGCCCGTGGCAGGGGGTTGGAACTGGATGAGCTTTAAGGTCCCTTCCCACCCAAACCAGTCTGGGATTCTATGAACTGCCTTGATAACCCTGCACTGCAGAAGTCACTGTCTGGATCTTGAGGGCCTGTGCTTTAGGCATTCTGTCCTTTGTCTTCCTTGCAGGGGGTGGCTGTCAGTGTCTGCCCACTCTGGCTCTTGCTGTAACTGATGTTGGAGCTATACACAGCCACTGCTGGCATTGGGGCTGTGGAACAGGCACAGCAAAGCCACAGCACAAGCAGGTTTCCCTCTTGTGAGCAGACATTGCTCTGTGCTTTGGTGCACAGTCTGTCTGGTTCAGGGAGCTTGTGTCCTCCCTCTGCTCTGTGTCACCAGCCCATTGCCTGCCCGCACTTACAGGGCTGTCTCTTCCTTTGAATCCTCAGTGCTCTGCCAAGAACCTTAAGAACATTTCTGAGCTCTTCTACTATGCCCAGAAAGCTGTGCTGCACCCCACTGCCCCCCTCTATGACCCAGAGGAGAAGCAGGTAAGGTCTGCTCAAAGCCCCTTGGAGGACCTCCTTCCCATCACAGTGCCCTGGCCCGGGGCTGTGTTGTTTTTTTCGCCTGGAGTGTTTGGGCCAATGCAGCTAAACTGAGGGGAAAGCAGCCATCTCCTGTGCTCAGCACAGCCAGCTGAATATGGCCAGGCCAGTGAGAAGCCAGGAGCATGTTGGGGTAGAAGCCATTGTGCTCCAGGCCATGTTAGCCATGGTGGGAAAGGTCCAGGAGAAGACTCCCCCTGGAGCTGTGATACTGGCATAGCTGGACTGTGCTCCTAGCCAGCACAGGAAGGCAACCCCTCTGCACACGGGGTTTCAGGAGGCAGAGCCAGGCTGATGGTGTTGCCTTGTTTTTTGTCACCATGGTTGGTCCCTTGCAGCTGAAACCTGCATGTGCACGAGCACTGACACGGATTTTCAACCTCTCGGACCAGGATAACAACCAGATCCTTAGTGATGATGAACTCAACTACTTCCAGGTAGGGCTGGCTGCAGAGCTGAGATGATTCCCCAGCCCCTCATGGAAAGCCCTAGTGTCCCCTTTCCATCCAACACCAGGCAGAAAGGCAGACACAGCTGTCCTATTTGCATCCAGTACTTCTGTTGGCCAGCTGTAGCTAAAGCGCCTTAAGGTACATCTTGGAGCAGATGGGGATCCACAGGTCCTCCATCTTTGCTAAGCTTGGGCTGAATTTGCTCTGCAGTGGGGAGAGCAGGAGGCACTGGAGCTGTTGAGAGTCATGTATTACTGGGATTCTGAAGAGCAGGGGTTTGGTGAAGGTCCAAGGCAGGAATCCCTGGTCTGGGTGGATTTTCTCTCCTAGAAACTCCCATTCCCTTGCCAGGGGAGATAGTGGTGAGACAGAGGCTTAGGCTGTCTGAGTGCTTTGCTGACAATGACCTTCTTTCTCCTGGGAGGCAGAAATCCTGTTTTGGAAACCCATTGGCTCCCCAGGCCCTGGAGGATGTGAAGGTGGTTGTGTGTAAGAACACCACAGACGGGGTGCAGGACAACGGCCTGACCTTGAACGGTAACAGCACAGGAGCTCTGTGCCTTATCCCAGCAAGAGATGGGGACCCCCCTCCTTCACCACATTGTGAGGGGCCCTGACATTGGTCTGAGCCTCCCAGCTCTCATTCCAAGCATAGTTAGTCCCTCTTGTCAAAGCCAGTTGGAGCCTGCTCTGGCTACTAGAGCTCTCTGTCCAGCAGCCTATTTTCCTAGGGGAAGCATGGTCCCAAGGAGTGGATCCCTGAGGCTGAGCCCCCACTGTGTCTGAGCCACCTGATCTCTCCTGCAGGCTTCCTCTTCCTCAACACGCTCTTCATTCAGAGGGGCCGGCACGAGACCACATGGACCATCCTCCGCCGCTTTGGGTACGACGATGAGCTGGAGCTGACAGATGACTACCTGTACCCACAGTGCGTATCCTGCCTGGGGTGGGGTGGCCAGGGTGTGACACCCCCGTGGTGCACAGCTTGAGCTCCCCAGCTCCTTTGCTGGCTCCTGCCCACACCCTGCTGCGTTCCTCAGCTGAGGCTGAATCCACACCCATAGCTCATGGTCAGGTTCATGCTCCTACATCTTCCTCTGTGGGCAGGAGCTGACCAATGTGGGGTTGGCAATGAATATAATGGGCCTTGGAGCTGCTGGCTGTGCTGCTGGCTCTGATGTAGGCAGGCAGGGAGCTGGGGAATGGAGGCCTATCCCTGACTTCACATTAGCAAGGGGTTTTTGAAGACTGCTCCATCTCTGCCTGAGCTCAGGCAGAACGGCTCTGTCAGGAGCAGTGAGCTGTCAGCATAGCCCTCCCGGCTGATTCTGCAGCTGCTGCCTCTTCTCTGCTCCCTGCCACTCTGGAGGTGGTGATCCAGCAGTAATGAAAGGGTTTGGCTTGTGAGCTGCCTTGTCTGCTCCCCAGACAGCAGGCTGTGCAAGGAGGCAACAGGGTGCGTGCTGGTGGAAAGCACCTTGGGGGGAGTGCTGTGCCCTGCTGAAGCCTTGGGTGTGAGGCTCCACATCTCCCTGGCTGCTTGGGATGTGCTGAGGAGAGGCCACTGTGCACCCTTGAGGGCTTCTTCCCAAAACAAAGGGCTGTGGCAAGTAGCGGCCAGGCCTGGAGACAACTACTGGTCTTGAGCAGGGAGGGAGTGGGGAGCTCTGGCTTGGCTGCAGACTTGCTCAAACTCTGCCCTTGGTTCAGAGCTCACGGAGGGTCACTTGGGTCTCCTCCAGGTTCCGGCTGCCCCCTGGCTGCTCCACGGAGCTCAACCACTTGGGCTACCAGTTCCTCCAGCGGCTGTTCGAGAAGCATGACAAGGTGGGCAGAGTGTGCTGGAGCTGCCTGGGAGGGGGTGCTCTGCTGGGCCTGCACGTAGCTCTCCTCTGCTCCAGGGAGCAGATGTAGCCTCAGTTGAAGGGCTTCCCTCTGCCACAACACTCCCTTCAAAGCTGCTTGCCCAGGCTTTGGGAGCAGGAAGTGGTCACAGCAAGTCTGATGGCATGTCAAGGGGTTGTGGTTGTGACCCTTGACCAAAGGACAGCCAGTAAAGTTTGTCTCTTCAGGGGCTGGGTCCAAGTTAACAAACTGGTGCCTGGCTGCAGCATGAAGGGAGGCAGGGAAGCAGGCAGAGCTGCTGGCCTGCAGCCACAGACCAAGCACAAGCATTCACACAGCTGCCAACCCTATTGAGGGGGTGCCAGGCTGGAGAGGGAGAGAAAGCAACTAATCTGTGCCATGCTCTGGTTCTTTGGAGAGAGGGAGAAGGGAATGTGCTGGATCTGCTGTGCACCTGCACACAGTACTCAGATGTTGATGTGCACTGGGATACAGCAGCTCTGTGGCCACAGGGAATTGGAGCACTGAGCTGATGCATGTCCAAGTGTGCCCAATGCTGCAGATCCTGTGCTGGTGGCCACACGCAGACCTTGGGTGCTACCCTGCAGTGTTCAGGACCAGGCTGGACCAGTGCAGGCTGCTGTGGGGTGGCTGGCCCTGGGGAAGCCAGGAACAGCAGCTCAGGGCCGTGGGATTAATTTCTGTTATTGGAAGCATCCCTGTGTCATTACATAGCGGCGAGCAAGGTGGCTTGTGTCCTGGTGATGCTCTCTGGACCCTGTCAGTGCTTGGTGTGGCTGCAGACAGCTGCTGCCACTGCACGGGCCATGTCCTCAGCTGCTGACTCCTCTTTTTCTCTCCAGGACCAGGATGGAGCCCTCTCACCCACAGAGCTGCAGAACTTCTTCAGCGTCTTCCCCTGCATGCCCTGGGGTCCTGAGCTCTACAATACGGTATGCACCACTGATAAAGGCCTGCTTTCCCTGCATGGATTCCTCTGCCAGTGGACGTAAGCTCAGTCCCTCTCCCTGCCTGTACTCACATCTCTTAGCCCTTGCTGATCCTGTTGGCTTCCTGGTGTGCTCCATCTCTGCAGGCTCATGGCTTACCTGGACGTGCGGCACTGCCTGGCGTGCCTGGGCTACCTGGGCTACCCTATCCTCTCGGAGCAGGACTCCCAGACACAGGCCCTCACGGGTACAGCCATGCCCTCCCCTCCTGTCACGGCTCAGGTTCCTGCTCTCACTCACCCAAGCTCTTTCCTGCCAGTGACCCGGGAGAAGAGGATTGACCTGGAGAAAGGCCAGACCCAGAGAAACGTCTTCCTCTGCAAGGTGCTGGGAGCCAGGGGAGCAGGCAAGTCTGCCTTCCTGCAGGCCTTCCTCGGCAGGAGCCTGGTGGTGAGTACTGCTCCCCTTTTGGGAGGGGAGGCCCGGCGGAGAGCCCTGAGGCCCTTGAGCTGGCCAGATCCCAGCAAAGGGCTTCACACCCTGCTCCATGCTGGTTGCTGTGGCTCTTGAATCCTTAACTTTGGCAGTGGGCCCATCCCCTCTGCTTGTCCTAAGGGGCTGGAGGGGCTGTGCCTTTTCCAGGCAGCTGCACCTCCCATGTCTGGGCAAGGTGATGCTGGCTTGTCCTGCATTACAAACAGCCCCGTGTCTCATGCCAGGCACTGGCTGGCCTTCCAGTGGCTGTTACACCATGGGGACCTGGGGCAGTGTGAAATATTCTCCCTTCCTCAAGCTCTTGCTGCCAGCCCTCTGAGATGGTGTTTTCATGGCAGGCTCAGAAGGAGAACCCAGGAGAGCCATCCCTCTATGCCATCAACACAGTGCAGGTCAACGGCCAGGAGAAGTATCTTATAGTAAGTCAGGGAGAGGAGGGAAGGGCTGCTGTGCCTCTCTGGCAGCAGGGCTGGCATAGTGCCTGGTGCTGGTGTTGGAAGTGGCCCATCCTGGTGATGCGGTGCTGTGCCACATGGCCTTTCCCTCCCACTCCAGCTATATGAGGTGAGCACCAACACGACGTTCGTGAAGCCATCAGACACAGCCTGTGATGTCGCCTGCTTCATCTATGACCTGAGCGAGCCCAGGTCCTTCAGCTACTGTGCCAGTATTTATAAGGTAGGCGCAGGGGCCCTAGGGGCTTTCAGCCTCTGTGTAGCAGCCCCACATCTCCCAGGCTTGGTGGCTTACCCCTTGCTGGAACTTCTCCTTGTCTCTGCAGCAGCACTACATGGACAGCCAGATCCCCTGTGTCTTTGTGGCCTCCAAGACAGACCTGCCAGAAGCGAGTCACCAGCCCGGCCTCTCCCCCGCTGAGTTCTGCTACAAGCACTGCCTCCCACCACCCTTCCTCTTCACCTGCCACAGCCAGGGGCCCCCCAGCAGCGCTGTGTACACCAAGCTGGCAACCGCCGCCACCTTCCCGTTAGTATCCTTCCCATGGAGGGTGCTCCTGTGGGGGGAGCAGAGCTTGTGGGGCCAGGAGGGGCTGTGTCCAAACCCTGCCTCTGCCACAATGCCTTGGGTTTGGTTTTTCTGCAAGCTTCTGGTGTCATCTGCTCATACAAGTAATCAAAACCAAAAGGGCACTTTATTCCCTGCTTGGAGTGGGTGGCAGCTTTCTTCTGTCTTGTGTGTGTCTCTGGCAGATTTATTAGATAGATCCTGCCATGGAGGTTTTCTTTCTGAAGCCTGAGATAAAACTGCTGAAGGGGAGCAGCCAGCCTGGTTTGCCAAGGCCCACAGAGGGGGGTGGCAGCTATTTTCTCCCGATGAGGTGGATCAGACTGAAAAAAGAGGTCAGCAAAGCAAGACCTCTGTTCACACAGCCTCCCTTTGGGAAGGAACAGCACCTGAAAGGGGCTGGATAACAGGGCAGGACACGGCCAGGGACATTTGGGAAGGAGAAGGTGTGTGTGTGGCATCACCCTGCTTGAGGAGCAGAGGAGGGGGCTGACGGTCAGCTCAACACCGTGGGTAGAGCCCTCCCAGGGAGAGTGTGTGGGTGCCTTGGAAGCCAGGCTGGGATTACCAGTGAGTGGTTTTCCCTCCAGCTGCTTTTCAATAAACAACTTTATTTTTAGAGCTGACACTTCTTTTTATTTTTTTCCCCCTCTGCAGTATTAAAATTTAAATATTCTTAATATATCTTAGGGTATGTGGGATAAATAAATAACAGTGTAATGGAGGGCCAGGGATTGGCTTTTCCCCCTCAATTTAGTGGGGAATGAATAATGGATATCTCTTTCCTCCTCGGAGAGGAGCAGGTTGATGCTGGACAGCACATGTTTAGGAGGGGAATGTGTACACTGGGCATGATGGAGCCTTTTCTCCCTCCCTGCCCTTCGGTTGGTCTCTGCGTGCATCCGCTCCTGGGTCTGTGTGCACTTGGAGTTGGGAAAGCAGCTTGACCTAGAAAGGCAGCTCCTGCCTCATACCCATTATTAGGGGTTGCTGTGCTATTTCCAGGATGGATAGAGCCACATCTGTCTCACCAGAGGGTTGATGATGATGCTGGGCTCTCCAGTGTGGCAGGGGAGGCTCTCGGTGCTTTCTGTCCCTGTCACCAGCCTGGAGCTCGCTGTGGTTGCTCTCTGTCCTTCCCGGGACACCCCAACCTCACTGCATGGGGTGGAAGCACTCCGGGCTGTAGGGGATCTTGCTGTTGGACAGTGTTGCTGTGCACCTTCTCACCAGCCTCTCTCTTTCTTTGCAGTCACTTGAACGCCGTGGAGCTGGGAGCCGCATCCTTCTGGCTGCGGGTGGCGCTGGGGGCTGCAATGACAGCACTGGTGGGGTTCACACTCTACCGGGTTTTGGGCAAGAACAAATGAGGCCCCTGCAGCCCGTCCTAATGTGACACCAGCCTCCCCCTCCCCAGCACTGCCCCGAGGGGCCCTGCCTCAAGCTGGTTCCTGGTAGGAAATGCTCCTTTTCGCCCGGCCTGGATTGCAGGACCAGTAAAACCAGAGCTCCCGGCACCAGCAGAATCGATCCCCCAGCACCGGCCACCCTGACCCTGCCATCCTCATGGCCTCTGCCCAGCTGTTGTGCCGGGGCCAGGCAGCTCTGCCGGGGCTCTGCCTTGCTGACACAGGAGGGATCAGCCTCATCTTTTATTCTGTTAATATTTTTTAACGTTTTTAAGCTCAAACGTCAGTGTTTCAGTGTCTGGGGGGCCGGGCACATCCCTTCCCAGGGGGCTGGGGTGGTGCTCTCATTCTTGGGGGCAGCACTCCCAAAGCACTTCCAGCAGCAGCAGAGCCATACATTGGGCTCGTGGGTTCAGCCCCCGGGGTCACACCACTGTCCCCTGTCTCTGTGTCCCTCAGCCAGCCCTGGGAAAGGCAGACCCCCTGTGTTTTGGGGTTGGGATGCTGTGGCTGCAGCTCTTGCTGCAAGGGGAGGGAGTGAGCTCCAGGACTGTCCCAGGCTCCTTCTGTCTCTTGTTCCAGCACAAAACCACTCCGAGTCCTGCAGTGCACCAGGCTGCCAGCACCTCTGCCCTCCATGAGGGCCTGGCACGTGTCAGGACTCATCCTGCTGGCCCCATCGTGGGCCTCTGGGCCTGCTGCGGCTGTCCCCAAGCACAAAGCTCTGGGTGTTGCATCTCCTGGTGCAACTGGAAGCTGTTTTCTCCACTGTCCTTTGCCCTCACCGGTGTTAACGCTGTCACTTCAGCTCAGTGCAGATCTGGGGCCGGGGTCCAATAGCATCCCCATCTCCATGTCCCAAAGAGCGAGGCCAGCCCCTGTGCTCTCCTCAGCATCCCTGGGCTTCCAGCCTCCTGCAGGGAGTCTGGGTCAGCTCCTGCCTGCATGACCCCAGCTGCTGGACTGTGAGCACACTCAGGCCAGGTTTTGTAGCCAGCAGCTGCTGGGACAGCACCAAGGTCACTGCGAGAGCTGCTTTTTGCTGTTCTGTCTATTGAAACTCCTTGTCGGGGCCTGGAGCCAGCAAGGCAGGCATCTTCCCACTGCTGCCCATCCCAGCGCTGGCTGGAGCTGCTCTGCCATCGGGCTCTTGTTGCTGGCCTGGAGTTCCCATATCCCTTCCTCGTGTGTAGCTGTTGGGCAGGCCTGTGTCCTGTGCTCTGACCCTGCTCCCAGCACTGGTCTGTGCCTGGCAAAGCCACACTTTTAGGTTTGTTCTCTACAGCGGAATAAATTTTTACACACCTTCCCCTTGCACAGCATGTCCTATGTGTCCTGGGGGGCAGGATGGAACCGGGGTGGGAGCAAGGACACCCCAAGGGGTGAGCTTTGGGGTTTGCTCCTGTTTGGAGCAGTTCCAGGGATTTAAGACAGGCTGAAGCCTGGCCTGTGGGAGACAAGGCTATGTGTGTGTGTCCCAGGGGTGGGAGCCAGGGCAAAGATGGGGAGCAGCACTGCTGTGGGGGACAGAGGAGGCGATGCCAAGGTGGATGGGACACGTGGTGCTCCCTGGTGAGTCCAAACCAGGCCTGGCCCCACGGGAGCAGCAGGTCCATGGTGTTATTAATAGTGCCTATGTACTGGGTCTGTGCATGATCCGTAAGGAAGGAGCCTGGGAACTGACCCCCTGCTTGGCATTCTTGCTTGCACAGGGAAGCCCCATGGCAGGCAGGGCTATGAGGTACTGAGCTCCCTGCTTGCAGTGGGGATGAGCTGTGGACCACGGGTGGCCATACTGGGATACTGGTACCCATATTGGAAGGGTGGTACCTGTGCCGGAATACTGGTACCTGTACTGGGATGCAGGTGCCAGGTGCCATACCAGGATATGTATTTGTGTAGCAGGATGTGGGTGATGTACTGGGATGCAGAAACATGTACCAAGATACAGGTACTATACCGGGGTGTGGGTACCCGTTCTGGGATGCAGGTATTGTACCAGGATGTGGGACTGTACTGGGATGTACATACCAGTGCTGGGATGCAAGTATGTATACTACGATGTGGTAACTATACTGGGATGTGGGTACTACACTGGGATGTGAATACTGTACTGGGATGGAGGCACCATACCAGGATGCGGGTCCTGTGCTGGGATGCGAGTGCTGTACTGAGGTGTGGATACCATTACCGGGTTGTAGGTGCCAGGACTGGATTGTGGGTACCCTACCGGGATGCAGGCACCGGCTGCGAGTGTCGGGAGCCCTCCCTCCCTCCCTGCTCCTTTCAGGGAGGGCCGCGGGGCGGGTCCCGGCTCCCGGCGGCGGGGGACCGTTGTGGGGGGGGCGCTGCGCCGCGCGCTGCGGTGGGGGCGGCTCCGCTCGGTTCCGCTCCCGCCCCCGCCGCCGCCGCCGCCCCGCTGCCACCGGCGGCTCCCGGAGCCGCCGCTGCCGCCCGCTCCCGGGCCCGCCGCAACGCGGGGCTGGCGGCGAGAGCCGCCCCCCCCGGAGCCCCCGCCGCCCGCGCCGCTCCCCTGCCCGGTTCGCCGGCCCCGGGCGCGGGGGAGCGGCGGAGCCCAACGCCCGCCGGGTGCATGGACAGGAGCTCCCTGCTGCAGCTCATCCAGGAGCAGGTGAGCGCGGGGGGAGCACGGAGAACCGCTCGCGGGTGGGGGGCGCCGGGCTCCGTTCGCGGTGGGAGGATGCTCGCCCGCACCGGGCAGCGCTGACCAAGGCTCCGGCAGGCACCGGGCAGCGCTGCCCGCCCAGGGCGGCTCCCGCGCCCGCTGAGCATCCCCCGGTGTCCCCAGCCCTGCCCCGGGGGACCGGACCCCCCTCCCCCTGTTACGCAGCTGAGACCGCGCAACTCAGCTCACTTGTGGCCTCCCCCTCGCCCCGGCGCTGCCCCGGGCTCGGTCCCGCCGGGTTCTCCCTCAAGGACGAGAGGTGCCGGGTCCCCCCAATCCCGCCGTGTGCCGAGCCCCGGCGCTGAGCGCAGGATCGGGCCCGGGGCTGTCGTGGAGCTGTGCCCCGCCTCGGTTGGGCTGGGGGGGCCGCATCCAGCCCCGTGACCTGATTGCAGGATCAGGCCGTGGAGCGTTGATGCCGCGCTGGGCTCCGCTGGGATGGGGGAATCAGCTCCCCCGGCGCTGGTACCCGGTGCCCCGAGGGTCCCCCCTTGTGCTTGGCCATCTCATCCCTCCCTCCCCGCCGTCCCTGGGCCAAACAGACGACTGCTCTGGCTTGGGGATGGGGAGGGAATTCATTGGGGGTCAGGAATATTAACGGCCCCCTCACCCCCAACTGGCTCCGTGACCTTGGCCTTGTTCCCCAGCCCAGGAGCTGGGGTGCATCCCCCTTGTCACCCCAGCTTCACCATGAGAGCTCCAGGTGCCTCTGAGCCGTTCAGGGATGGGCAGCATCTTCCCAGTAGAGAGTGGGAATTGGGAGAGCCAGGAAGGGCTGGGGGGGGGGGGGGGGGGGGGGCTGCAGAGTGGCTGCAGGGAGGCACTGGGGGGAGATGCACCCTAAAAGCAGAGAGGGGCTTCCTGGCTGCTGCTTGGGCTCGGGGGACCATCGAGCTCAGTGTGTGACAGTGCATTGGGAAAGCATGTGCCAGGTCCCGGTGTGGCACATGCACGTGGCTCCTGTGGGGCGGCAGGGGGGCATGGGGGATGGGTGGCACCAGGGAGCTCCTGAGCCCCCAGCACCTCGGGGTGCTCTGAGGATGTAAGTGCTACTTTTACTGCACCCTGCATCCCACCTTGCACCCTGCATACCACCTTCCACTCTGCATCCCACCCTGCACTCTGCATCCCACCCTGCACCCTGCATCCCACCCTGCATCCCACGCCGACCTCAGCAAGGCTTCAGATAGCTGTACCAGCCTTGGGAAAGAGGCTTTGGCTGTTCCCTGCCTGGAAAGGATGGTCTGCACATTGGGATGGAAGTGCAGTCCTGCCCATCCCATGAGGATGAGTTTTCTCACCTGCATTTCATTCCCTGCAGGAAAAAGGTTGAAACCCAACACTCATTTCAGGGTGATGCTGCAGGATGCAGGGTCCTGGCCACCCCCAGCCATAGGCGCCTTCTCCCATCTCCATCCTCCTTGTGCCACCCCACAAGTGGGACCACACTGGATGCTCAATGGTGCTGGGTACCAATGGTGCATGATGCCTGGAGGACACAGGGTGCCCCGGCACAGGGTGCCTGGTGTGTTGTGTGCAGGAGGATGAGGAGGAGGCTGGTGCCAGGGCTGCGCGTGTGTTTAGCTTCGTGGCTTCCTGGCTGTCAGGCTGCTGGCGGCAAGAAATAACTGAGTGGGAGAGTATTGGCTGTGACACGGGGAGATGGATGGGGATGGGGATGCTGGCAGGGCACTGGGGCACCCACATGGCACCCACACCATGCAGTGTGCAGGCTGGGTGCAGGCTGTAGCCTCCTGCAAGAGAAACAGGGGCTGGTCGTGTTGTGAAGCAGCATATGAGACCTCCAGGCTTGAGGCCAGGATGAGAGGCACTGGGTGGTTTTCCCCGGGCAATGAGGGAGCTGCATCCTGGTGATGCCTCGCTTTGTGCCCCACAGCTCGACCCCGAAAACACTGGCTTCATCGGGGTGGAGACATTTGCCAGCCTCGTGCACAGCCATGAGCTGCCCCTGGACCCCGCCAAGCTGGACATGCTGGTGGCCCTGGCGCAGGGCAACGACGAGGGGCAGGTCTGCTATCAGGAGCTGGTAGACCTGGTCAGTGCTGGGGGGGGCACTGGGATGGTTTGGGTACCGGGCACCTCCTTGTGTCCCTGGGGACGGGGGGCTGGTGGATGCCAGTGTTCCTCAGGGGACTCTCCTGGCATGATGCAGTGATGGGGGGTCTTGCCTGGGCCGGGCTGCGGCGCAGGGTGGAGATGGGCAGGGGGTGGCCTGTCCCTGCAGATGAGCAGCAAGCGCTCGAGCAGCTTCAAGCGCGCCATTGCCAACGGGCAGCGTGCGCTGCCCCGCGACGTGCTGCTGGACGAAACCGGCCTCGGCTTCTACAAGCGCTTCGTGCGCTACGTGGCCTATGAGATCCTGCCCTGTGAGATGGACCGGCGCTGGTACTTCTACCAGCACCGTGCCTGCCCGCCCCCTGTCTTCATGGCAGCCGTCACCCTCACACAGGTACAGCAACCCTTGCGTGTGCAGGACGGGTGACCCTGGTTGTGATGTGCCAGTACCCATGGGGGGATCAGATCTGGCATGGAAGGTGTGGACGACCACACTTATGATGTCCTAGTGGCCATGGGGGTTCAGATCTGGAGGAGATGAGTGACCCCAGTTGTGATGTCTTGACGGCCATGGGGGGGATCAGACCAACGGTGGAAGGGATGGGTGACCCCAGCTGTGATGTGTCAGTGCCCATGGGGGGGCTCAGATCTGGCATGGAAGGGATGGGTGACCAGGCTGGGCTCAGAGCCACGGCAGAGGGCATGGGTGACTCCAGGACAGAGAAACAACGAGGGTGGTGGTCTCAGCAGTATGTCTGACAGTGGATGTGGGCTTTGGTGCAGATCATCGTGTTCCTCTGCTATGGGGCCCGGCTGAACAAGTGGGTGCTGCAGACCTACCACCCCGAGTACATGAAGAGCCCCCTGGTCTACCACCCAGGGCACCGCGCGCGCGCCTGGCGCTTCCTCACCTACATGTTCATGCACGTGGGGTATGTCCCTGCTGCCAGGGTGGACACAACAACGTGTCTGGGGGTACACCCTTGGGCTGAGGTGTCCCCTCCTGCGTTGCCTGCACAGGCTGGAACAGCTGGGGTTCAACGCGCTCCTGCAGCTGATGATCGGGGTGCCCCTGGAGATGGTGCACGGCATCCTGCGCATCAGCTTCCTCTATCTGGCTGGGGTCCTGGCAGGTGGGTGTGTGGTACCTGGGGGGTGGGGAGACAGGACTGTCCCCATCACCAGCCCCTGGGGAGATGCCCCCTGACGGAGATGTGGGGCTTGGCTCCTGACTGCTGGGTACCAGCAGCATCGAGTGCCCCAGGGAGGCATCACAGCCTGTGGTTGATTAATATGGACATGATTAATTAATGGCATGGGGGAGGCCCTGCACTGATCCCTCCTGTGCCCACAGGCTCCCTCACCGTCTCCATCACGGACATGCGGGCGCCGCTGGTCGGGGGCTCAGGGGGGGTCTATGCGCTCTGCTCAGCACATCTCGCCAACGTCGTCATGGTCAGGCAGTGGGGGGGCACTGGGAGGTTGGAGGGTGGTGGGGGTGGGATGACCTCGGGGAGGGGATGCCATGGGGTGGGTGGCATTGGGTGTCATTG